TCAATTTCTGTAATTTAGAGAGGGGGGAGGAGCTGTAGAAAAGGAATCTCCATTTGCTGAGTGTGTTTTTACTCTTACTGTGTCATGTAAGATTGAAGCCCACCCTAATTCCATCAATATAGAACATTTAGGAGGTCTGTATTCACAAATTGTACATGCATTTGATTACAACATGCTTTGAAAGTCAGTTTAATTTCTAGTTTTTGAATATGCATACGGAATCTGCTTGCATTTTCTTCTTGTTAGGAAAATGTGTATATAAATTAATTGCATAAATTAAACTGGAATTGGTAGTTTATTGGCATCAATTTGACAGCATAATGACAGCCCTCATTCACACTGAGATTTCATAGAGATGCACAGGCTTAAATGCTACAATATTGGCAATATTATCTGCTTCTTGGAGACAGTCCAATAAACATTTATTATTATGAAAACTTCTTTAATATAAATAAGTTTGGGAGGATAAATGCAGTGTTTAAGACCAGTGTGTGTGCATACTGGTTTTAATCTGGTGAATTTTGTGCTGTTTCTATGGATATTTATGGAAGTAGTTTATCCTAAAGTACTTCATTGTAAGTAGCTGGGAGTTTTAACCCAAGTGGGCTTGACTCTCTTCAATTTGAATATGCATATTCTTTGTTAATGTCATTGCCTAAAGTGGTTATTCCCACTTCTCCAAGAGTTTGGTTTCATCCAAAGTGAGTCAAGCACTGTAGGAAGTAAGAAAAATACTGGCAAGCTCTGATGGTGCAGTTTGAGAGGTGACTCTTGGATTTTAGTGAACAGAGAAGATGGAGGGAGGGTAAACTGTGCTTCAGACTCCTGCAGGTGACCTGTGAGGGGAGGGAGTACAGACACTGAACTGGTGGTTTTTATGAGAAGTCATTTGGTCTTCTGTACCCAGACATTGCAGACCATTCACAACCTCTTACTCCTTTCCTTTTAAAATCAAGAAGATTATTAAGAGGCTTTCTTTTGAAGTTTTTTTCTTTTAATAGTCATTTCTTAAGACAGAGTCTAAAAATCAGAATTTTTGAATGCCAGCTCTTAATTGCTGGTAGAATGTCTCATCCTGTTCTGTGTTGAGGGTTCTAGGTACTTTTAATTGCTTGGTTTTAGTACTTCATGAATTTCAGAATTAACTTAATCTTTATGTTGCTCTGTCTTTGTGAAAGCTCCACTTGCTTTTCTTTAAAAAAAACCAAATGTTAGCTTCAAGGGCCTTTAAAGGAGGCCTTTTTGCTGAGGGTAAAGTGGGGATTTATTTTAGTGCTTATCCGGTCTCTTAGAACCTCAGATTCACAGGGTTGTTTTTTAAAAATACCATCCTTATAAATGAAGCTGTTCAAATTACATGGGTTAGGAAAAAAATGTCTGAGGTATCGGTGTAAAGCTGTTTAAACCAGCAGTGTTTTGTTTTGGCAAAAGCAGTGCAGAGAGGGGTTTGAGAGTTGAACACATTAAAGTGCAGTATCCAGGCTCTAGATGTCACTATAGATGTTGTTTTGAAAGGAAATAGACGAAATGACCACTTTAGAAATTACCTGAATGGGTGAAAGTGCTTTGATAAAATCTATAAGGTTGATATAGTCAGGCTACATTTTTCTCCCTTTTAGATGTTCTGTGAATGTTATTTTGAAATGTAAAATGCTTGGTGGTTTTTTGCTGCACAGTAAGATCAGCACCTTCTAGTCCGCATAAGGTTCAGGTGTCTTTCAGCTGTTTTTGTGCTCCCTTAGCTCCTGGCTGATTAGGAAGTTAGACAGTTTATAGCAGACAAAATTAAAGTTTGCTGTTGTCTGGTGCCAGAAACTTCACCTTACTTTTCCAAGTGACTCCAGCCTGGGACAAACTCACTGTGCCCAACATTCACCTCTGATGTCAGAATGAAAATGTGAAAGCTTTCACAGCATGGCCTGCAGTTGTCCTAATTGCTCTGTGAGACCAGATATTTCTTGAGCCTGTGTATATCATTTGGGTCCCTTCAGCATTGCTTAAAGGCTTTATAATCAGTGACAATTAAAAATCTGCTTCACCCTCAGTGAGCATGATCCTGCAGTGCTTGGAAGCTGGATCACATGGTAAGGAAAACAGAAGGTGCAGGAAGGCAGAAAACTCAAGCCAGTTGTGCATCAGAAATGTGAATGTCAAGAATTTTTTCCCTTACCACAGCATTTGTTCCTGTTCTTTCACCCCACTGATAGAGGACTCAGCAATTCCTTTTCTTCTGTCATAACCTTGCTGTGTCAGGAATACCCAGAAGGTGACTGTTGAAAGTAGCAGCATTGAAAGGAAGTCTTTTCCATTACCAAATGTTATTACAGAGCAGCTTGTGTACAGAGAAATCTTTTATGTAAGAGAGCAGCAAAAAGGAAAGGGGGGGATATGGCTCAGAAATGAGATTCTTGTGTTTTCCTGTAAAACTCCTGCTGCAATTTGAGTACCATTTGTTACTGGCTTATTTTTGCAATAACCTTAACAGAATGGTTTTTATCAGTAAATTATCAAGAGCTTTTGCAATCCTTTCTGAGCCTTTATTGTTATGTAGAATTTTCCATAGTTGCAAAATTGTTGCTATAAAAATACCTTTTAGTATAACTGAGGGTGGTAAGAGTGAGAGTATATAAGGTGTAAGAGTAATTTAATCACATCAAGAGCTTTAGTTGCTGAAGTTTTATCCTTAACTCATTCCAAGTGCTCCAGCTTTGTTCCATGATTTCCACATACCTGTATATGTCCCTGATTAGCAAATTAGTGTGCAACGGGGGTCAGGGTAAGCCTGTCAGCAAAATGCAGACATCCCAAATTTTCATTATGGCTTTATCTGGATAGGTATTAATGCTTGTTCCTACATGTGATCATCTAAATAGATAAACCTACTAAAGCAAAAATACACATATTCTGCCTTCTCTGTCATTAAGATTCAGTTCAATATTTCTGTGACTGGGAGTCAAAACCAGGGAGTTTTTCCAGGGAATAGGACCAAGTATTATGCTCTGCACTGTGTGTCACATACACATCTGAGTTGGTGCAGGTGACCTGAGACTTGACCTGTGGATAGATTTGCATGGTGATTTTTGCATTTCACAGAACTTAACGCATGGTATGAATTCTGAGAGCACACTCAGTTACCACTTCTGTCTTTCATTGCCTGAACTGCTTCTAGCTTAGCATTTCAGATTTTGCTGGTAGAGTTCAACACTCCTACACTTCTGCTTTTGGGCATTTCTAAAAAATGAGTAAAAGTAGTATATATATGTTTGTGTGTGTTTATGTAACTGTATATTTGGCTATTTAAAAAATTACCAGGATAGAATCTGTTCTTTATCTTTTTCCATGTTTGAATACCCAGAACAAGAAATCTGTTGCATGTTACTTTCCTTCCAGTCTTTTCACTTTGAAACTTCTTTTATGCTTTCTGGGGACATACAGTAATAATTGGTGTTTTTTCTGTATTTTTTAGAGCTTACTAGATCCTTGAGATCCAGTAGCAACTTCTTGGTGAGGATTTTGTTACATGTTAAGTTGTTAAAAAGTGATTAAGGCTGCAAAACCCCCTTTTTCAGAGGTGCAATTGAGTGTCCTACCTGGCCACATTTTTTTCTGTGATACACTTCCTCATTCAATGTACAAGTTGAGACTCCAAAAACAAAACTTTCAGTATCATTTCTCAGTGTTTCTTCAGGCAATGCTCTTTTCCCCTGTTTATTTTCACTCCTGTGCCCCTGCTTCCTATCTCAAGGTCCCCATGCTTGTTTTGTCCTGCCCTTTTCCTGTTGACCTGTGAGTATGTTCAGAAGCAGTTTGGCTGAGAAAAGCGTATTTATTCTGCTTGGCCTACCTGGAGTTGAGCATTTACAAACTTTATGATCAATAAGTTTATATGTTTCAGTCATTTGCTCACACAGTCAGAAAACTTGTGTCTTCTGATTGATGAGATGGCTTCCCATGCAGCATATTTGAATGGCTTAACCAAAAATTTGACAGGCTCTTGTGGTCTCTAAACTGCTTTGCAAACCAGGTGCTGTGCCTGTTTGCCTTATGATTTTGTGTTCACTGCAATAGGAATGAGTTGTTTTATTGTTTGATTGTTTTTATTAAACAATTCACATGTCACCTGCTAACTTGTGATTTTGGCACCAGCACGTCCAAGCAATGCAGGAAGTTTTCCACATGGGCTGTGTTTTGCTGTAGTGTTTTTCTAACTCTCCTCATCCCTCATACCTTTACGTTTTGGGGGATTTTCCTCCATGAACTCTTCTGTCAAATGCTAGACCACTGCAGGACTCAATTTTTTGTTTCTCAAATTGCCTGTACTGCACTAAAGCTTTTCCACTATTTGAAACAAGAAAAACTTCGATGCAGTTAAGAACTTCAAAGGACATCATCTTGGGCAGATTACATAGGAAAAAAGCCAGGCATATGTAATTTTTTGGTGCTATGTAGAAGTGTTGGAATGGGATCTTGCTAAGAGTCTATCACAAAGTTATATTCGATTAATAGTTCCCAAAGTTTCATTCATTTTCTTGCCTTTTTGATAAGCAGTGGGGAACAAGTAGTTGTGTCTAGAAAAATGTAGGAGGAATGTCTTCAGCCTATGCTGCCCTCAAAAACTGTTTTAAGAGAAACAAGCCCAGGAAGGCATTTTGCTGAGATTATTCAGCTACATTCCCTATAAATTGTACTTCAGGAAGGACAGAAGTGGTGGGGTTTGGGTTTAGGTTTGTGCAGATCAGAAGAGCACTTTGGTAGTGAACAGCTCTGCTTACCCAGACTTGCAGCTGATGATCTAAAACCAGTCCTGCCAGCAGCACTTTGCCATCTGGAAAGCTTTGACTGCTCAGTTCTGCCTTGCTGTGGTTGCTTGGCTGTTGGATGTGTAGCACAGTTGTGGTTCACCCATCCCAAGGAAAGTGTCTGTGCTTTGTTCAACCTTCTTGTAAAGGAAACCTGTGTCCAAAACTTTTGCTGATAACAAGAGAGAGTGGGGTCCTCAACTCCAGCCTAGTTTTTGCCTTTTTCCTTCACTTTTTAGGTAAAAGGAAGTGTCCATAGGTCAAATGTAAAACATCTTTTGTATTACATGGATTAATGGGTATTACACTGTTCACTCTACAAACTTGGATTCATTTGGATGTACACATAGGATTTATTATGACCAATGTTGATGCAGCAAGCAGGATGATTTGAAAAGGAAATGCAATATGTTACCATTTTATTTAAATATTTGCCATTTTATATCAAAGCTTGCCTAAAGGTTTAAATTAGTTAATTATTATTTATAGTCTTTTGAAATCTTTCTATATTCCTTCCCATTTCAGTGAAAATATCATCATTACATTTTTGATCTTCTGGTGTGGATTTTGTAAACAGGGCATAAAAACTTTTCTTAAATGTTTTATCTAACAGAAGGGTTATAAGTGGATCTAAACTGCTTTTAGTAGCAGCAAGACAAGTAAGGACATTTTTAATTTCTACTAGATAATTTAATCTTGGACAGTCATTATCTGTAAGAAATCCATAGAAAATTGGCCTGAAAATATGATATGGAAGAAAACAGGCAGTTAATATCATCTGGATGACAAGAATGTTTCTTTTCACTGTTCTGTAAATGAGATGTCTTTCTCCAATGCAGGTGTTTTTTTGTATTCTGCTCAGATGTCTGGTAAGAGAATAGTACGACCACAAAACGGTCATAAAAGCCAGAAAGAAGCACACAGTGGCAAGATAAGCTGCAATCATTGCAGGACGCTCACCAGCTTCTACCTTGATGTTGTAGCACGTGGGGAACTCTCCTGAAACCCTCTCCTGGACGTTGTAGGTGATGGCTGTGGCTGTAACGCACAGCACAATCAGCCAGATAACAGCACACAAATATTTAGCGAACTTTGGCCGCCGGAACTCGTGCAGGAGGCGCCCGTGGAGGGTTCCTGGCAGAGCTGGGGAGTGTTGTGGGCCACAGTTCTTCTTCAGGGTGGCATACTGGCTGAGGGCAGTGGAGCACAGGATGGTGATGGTCACATACATGCTGACGTGCATCACCAGCGTCCCCAGGTGATGGGCGATCCTGCACGCCACCGACTCGTAGGGCCAGCGGTGCCCCCCAGCAAAGTAGGCAGCCAGGAAGGGCATGGTGCTGCAAACCAGCAGATTGGCAGCCACCAGGTTGGTCAGGTAAATGTACTGAGTCCTTCTGGTGGGCACTTTACGTAAAAATATCCAGGCACTCAGAATGTTCCCAAAGATTCCAGTGGGAAACAGGCAGGAGTAGAGGATGGGGAGAGCTATGGTGGTAGCTGGCGATGGCTGAAGACATGATGAGTTGTTCATTTATGGCAGGATTCCTTGAGTGGTCAGAGCTGAAACACAATTTAAAAATTAATATTTCTGTAATATGCATCTAACATCTCTTCTTTGCTCTTATCTGAGCTGTTTCTGTCTCCCTGACTTTTCATGCTGTTACCTTAAGTTTGCATGAGGTTACAGTTTGGGCACTCTCTTCCACTGAAGTTTCACGAAGAAAAATTAAACCCCAAAGCTTTTATGTGCATAGAATCTAATAAAATAAATTAGGAAGCTGAAGGTTCAAGCTAGGGTCTGGCAATAACTTCTATGGTCTTGGTTTATTTCTCAGTCTTCTGGAACGTCTGTAACCTAATTTGGAAACCACTTACAGACCATTTAAAATTAAATGAGCAAATTAAGTGCAAAGAATTACTTTAATTCCAGAAATGCAGAAGAGTATCTGTACCTCAATTTAACTATAAATTAATCAGTATACTGCAAGAATCTCACTATATATATTTATTCTGTGCTCATTTCTGTATGTGGTGTTACTTTATCACAGCTCTAATGTCAGATGTACATTTAGCAACTCAGTCTATATTTTTTCATATATACAGTGATTATTGAAAACTGCAGTACATTAATTTCTTCCAAGTTCATTTTTCAGTCTTTTCTCAATTTCCAAAGTGAAAATAAGAAATGAAAGTTCCGTGCAATGACTGTGTAAAAAATGACATTTCAGTTACAACCCTGTAGTGGAGAGTTTTTACTGTTGTATGCATAGATATACATACATATTTAAGTGGAGTGTATCCTAGTTAGTTTTTTTTCCCCATATTAAATCATATTAAAAAAAAACAGATTTCAAACTTAGAGACTAATAATACTTTTTTTAAAACAGCTGTAAACAAATGAACTCAGGTGCTAAAGAGGGTTTGGTGTAGCAATTGTAAAAAGCCCAGACACCAAGTGGAAAAACTGTGCTTTAGGCAGTGTTTGACAAACTTGCAATTTAAACTAACTTTTATAGCTCTTGCATTTTAATGTACACCAAGTTCTATATGTACTGTTGAACCAAAATGTATTAAATTATTTTATTATAATGAGTTAAATTCACAGAGTAATTGTTAATTTACTTATTTAGAAATAAATCAGTAAATTTTGAATGAATGAATGAATTTTGAATGAATGAATGAATACTTATTTTAGAAGTCTAATGAAAATTTTTGTAATTGACCGAATTTCATGAGGTAAAACAAAGCAGTAATTTTAAGCTTACCTTTACAAGTTGCAGGCACCTTCTTTTGCTGACAGGAAATATTTCTGTCTGGTATCTGTTTATTCTCCACTGCTGCAGTGAAAATGATGGCACTGGAACCTGGAGAGTGCAGTTAAAAATTTTTCTCTGGCATAACTGGGTTTTCAGAGTGTACACTTTCCTTTTACAATGTCAGGAGGCAGGTAGGCATTTAAAGTTCAGAAAATATGATGTCTGTACTAAAAAGGCTTTGAAATTAATTCAGAATTGCTCCATTAGGGAAAAAAAAAGATGGAGATAGCCTGGAAGAGCAGCTGTGACAGTCCTTTAGGTGCAGCACAGAAAAAACACCTCACAATCCTTTGTGTAACGCTTTCCCCTTTTGGGGGTGGAGGAGTTCTCTTTAGGACTGCCCTTTTTTTTTCCTTCACGCTGCTCTTTTATGCATGACAGCTTGTCCTTTCAGTCATATTTAACAGGTTTTCAGCTCCACAAGCTGTCTGTTCCCAAAGGTCACATGCAGTAATGCTGCGTCCATGTCTGTCCTCGCATGAGTGACCACATGGACACATCTCTTCTGTCTGGTCAGGTGATGGATTGTGGGGAAACAATTCACACCTGATGCATCCAAGGGTTCTGGCAGGGAAGATGGACTCAATGGACTGTCCAAGAAATGCAGTGTTTTACACAAAGCATCCAGAGGTGTATACAGGACAGTTTCTTCCTCCACAGCATAGGACAAACTCTGGTCACCTCTGCAGAAGTTGAGACTTTTGGGCTTTCTGCTTTCTGATACATCTGTGGTGTAAGATAACCTCTAAATAAGTTTCTTTATGAGAACAGAAGTTTGGTAGGGTCTTGTTTTGCCAGTTTGGCTTTTTGTTTAAGCATAAATTCGCCTTGTGATCTGTTATCATTGTTCAGTCTCATTATTACTATATTTTTTTTCTAATATAATGGACATTTAAGCTGGCATCTTATTCTGAATTCATAGCTGAACTCATTTACAATTACATTTATTTGCTGTGGAGTATTAGTAATTAGGCTGTGAAGCTGTAATTAGTTTGCATGTACTTTAATTCTTGTTCTTGTTAGATTTAATTATACCTCATTTTCCACTTCTGAATGTATATTATATTAAAAATCATTCTAACAGAGAGAGTCTTCTATTTATTACGTGTTTAATACTTTCTTAAATGGTGTTAAAAGAACTTGTTGCTGTGGCATTCCACTGAGGTTTAGATACAAGAATGCATATTCTGAAAAGTTGCTGAGAGTGGTGTGAACAATTCCAGTTAGCAGGTTTTTTTTAATTGCTAGTATTATTTGGTTGGTTATTGACTGTTGCCTGTAGTATTTATAATTTAATGATAATAATTCGTGCTGTAAGAAGAGTGCTGCAATTTTTTCTGAATTATTGTATGATAATAGATTGTTGTAGTGAACTAGAGTCTATCAGACTTTATTTTGGAATGGATTACTGAGAGCAGTAGCAAAGTAATGACGTATTATAAGTTTTTTTTAAAATACCACCTGTCCCAGGGATACAGTTTTAGTTGGTTCTAAGCTGTAGCAAGAACCTTCCTTATTCTTTTAGTGGACGATTTCCTTTCACCTAACTTACAAATGGTGTGTTTTATCTAAATCTATTTGAAGATACTCAAACGGAACACATGTGTTTTTATGCTATTCACTCTTAAGTTCTTCATAATTATTTTTATGTGTATCACTCACCTCAATGATTTAAATTTTCTCTATTCTTGAACCATGATTACTCTTAGTGTATACATGTTCTAGATTTTATATTGCCAATAGGCAGCAGATGTTGCATTTCATCATATGCAGACAGCTTGTTTTCTGGCCCTAAAAACACAAAAGCCAGGAAATTCCCAGTGGTGGAATTTCACAACTTGAGCAAGGCTTTGACACTGTCTCTCATAGCCTTGTGTGCTGTCAGAGCATCAGACTAAATCTTCCATGTGTGAGCCTCCCAGTTCTGGGAATAATAGGATTCTCACTTGTTTTTCAGTGGTATAAGTTGCACTCCTCTTTTATAATTTCTGTTTGTCTCTTCTCAGAAACAGTTTGCTAGTAAAAACCATAATTGCATTTAATTTCAGGGCAAAAATGAAAGTTGATGTTGTGGTTAACACTGGTAGGTGGGTGAGCCCTCACAGCTGCCCACCCAGTCCCCCTCAGTGGGATGGGAAGAATCAAAAGGGTAAAAGTGACAAACCTAGCTTATTAGTTTTGCCTCTTCCCCCTCTTGTTCTTGTGGCTGCTGTGCTGCAGAACAGACCCCCCCTTCTGGTCTTCCTCCTACTTGGTCTGAAACACTGATCAAATCTGCCAGTGTCTACCAAAGTAGATGGTTGTGGTTTATCCCAGAAAGCTCCTATATCCCACACATTCACTTACTTCCTCTCCAGTGGGCTGGAAGGCAGAACCAGTAGGGTAAAAGTGGAAATTCATGGTTTGTGAGAAAGAGTTTAATAAGCTTAAAGAAAAAAAAAAAACAAACCAAGTGATAGAAAGCAACCCCACCTGACCAGTGCCCAGTGAGTTCCTAAAAATAGCAACACAGCCAGGCTTCCTTCTTGGCTTCTGTTGCTGGGCATGGCGCCATGTGCTCTGGGATCTCCCTGGGGCCAGCTGTCCCTGCTGTGTCCCCTCCATGTCCTTGTGCACCCCCAGCCTGTCTCTGCTGGGCTGTTCTCAGGGACAGTCAAGTCCTGCTTGTTGTGCAAGGGCTGCTTAGCAATGGCTGAAGCATCCCTGGATGTCAACGCTTCTGTTCACAAGCTCAGACCACAGCCAGAACCAGCACAACACTGGTACGTGTTGGTACATCAGCTGAAATTCGTGTGTTTATAGATCTGTGGAGAATGAGGTTCATGCAGTTATATAGGGATGTGTGTTGAGTTAGCCCTTAAATACAGAAAGCAAAATAAATAGAATTACCTTCATGTTAAAATTCTTCTGGAGACTCAGGTAATCAGGAAGCACTGGGAAGAGGAGAAGTAAAACGCTGTTTGAGTGACTGATTCTGTGGTCATTTGACACGTCACAATGTGGCTTTCAGCATGTTTCCCAAGATGTTTCAGGACTGTTTGTTATTCAGTAATATTTTCTTGTAAGGCCTGGTGTATTACCCTTTAAATCTGGGAAAACTGATTGCAGAAAAAAATATGTAAGGATTAATTTTTTTCTTTAAAGAGTAAATATACCTACTTTTGTTTCTTGGTCAGTAGTACTGCTTCCTACATGACAGTGCTGTCTAGTTTCGGATCCCATTCTGAGCCAGTTGATACATCTGGCCTCTTACATCTTCAAGCACTGATTTATGGAGTTGTAGAAATCCAAAAGTATTTTCTGATTGTTTTTTGTAGTTGTCTCTTGTTGTGACTGCTGCTCCCTTAGTGCTGCACTTGCCAAGATCAAGTGGTCATTCCTGTTCCCCTTTTCTGTGCCATGCCTGCCCTTAGAGATTTTCTTATAGACCCGTTCCTTCTCAGATTTTCACTTCTGAGCTGGAGAGTTGATTAATGTAATGCAGTTTGGATTATCAGTATCAAAACCCTGTACTACTACTTGATCTTCTGAAGAGATCTGAGTTTATTTTGGCAATACTGCTGTGTCCATGAATTACAAACCTTGTGAATGAAAATTCTGGTCTAACGCTTCATTCAAAAGAATTTTAGAAATCACATTTTTTTCAAGCTACTATTCATGTCTGTCCTCCTGAATTCCCTAGCCCACACCCTCACCCCAACCTGCTGTTCACTATCATCAACCAACTGCTCACAGAATGAGCATAGAAAAGAAAAAAGGAAGAGATAACATATAAATCTTGTGAAATTATGGTTTATAAACTCCACTAGATGTACCAGAATTGATGTCATTATGTAGAACGACAGTATTGCATAATAAAATTGCACTGGACAAATACAAAACAAAAGAAGCTTTAATAGAATAGGATGGCAAAATGATAGATAAAAGATCCTGAAATGCAATTTCTGTGAGAATCAATCAGAAATTATTGTACAAACACCTCTGTTGTATGCTGCAATATTTAAGAAAAAGTCAATTACCATCATATTTTTATGAAATTACACATTTTTAGGAATCCTTCTTTTGAAGATAAGGAAACCCTCTAATTTTTTATTAAAAAAAAAAAAAGGCAGAACAAAACAAAACAATTACTGGCTAGTCATTGTAATTTCTTTGACATGTTTATATCCAGTTCCATCAAATCTGAATGATATGAATTTACATCAAAATTAAACCAAGTTTATATCTAGCTGAGGTGAAGCCTTATGTTTACTTTGTTCAATCAGAGTATTATGAGTATCTTCTGTAAAATCAGAATATTGTATGAAATTAGTCAAAACCCTCACATTTTGGCACAGATTTGGCATTAACAGTCACATGATGCATTTTAAAAGTTACTGGTAGTCATATTAAAACCAACTTGTTTACACCTACTTATTTGAGCAGTATTGTTTGTGTGTGTAAAGACAATAAATCCTTATTTCACAGAGCTTGATGTCTGGCCTCTATATCTTTCACCTTTCTGGTCTGTTATGCCAGACATTTAATTTATTCATGGTTGTGCTGCTTTAGTCATCTTGGTGCCAGACATTCTCCACCTTCAGCTCTCTGGTTTTTGAGAAATGTTTCAGTCTGAAATTTGTGTGTGCCTAAATACATAAAGCTGTTTAGTATCTGAGAATGTAGCTGTAGCTATGAAAGGTTGTCATTACGTTGCTGTTTACATGGCATCAGCAATTATCAAGATTATTTTAATCATGTGGAAAGAAAAGTCTCCTGCCAGGGAGGAAGCATGCAGCTGGAATGTGTGGCTTTGGAATGTAGGAGCAGTGCCTGAGCCTGGCTGATCCTTTTGCTCCGCTCTGTGAGTTGATGTTCCTTGCTGAACTACTTTGTGCTGTCATCAAATTTGTCACATTGAAGGAAATCTTAGGAAATGCCCACATCATCTCTCCTTCATTTATTTAGAATTTTCCGAAGGCGTTGCTTGCTTTTCCTCAGGTGTTTGACCTTGACATTCATTAAACTGTTGGAAATAACAAATGTCTTAGTAGGATTGAATATTTTAATTTTGCTGCTTAATAAAACTAAGAGTGTCTTCTGTACTTAAAACTGAATTGATGTTGTATTCTTCACCTCATTTTTAAGATACATGTTACTAAATTCTCAAATATTTTCTTTTAAAATGCATTTATAAATGTAGTAAAAATACTGATCTCTTGGAAACCTATTAAAACAGAAAAAAATCTAAAATACAAAAAATCTTTCAAATAGGACAGAATTTACTTTTTGCAAAATTCATCTATTATTTACACACACAAGCTACTAATATTAATGTATATATACAAGTTTACTTTTACAGGTTCAAACCCCTTTGTGGAAATATCCCTAAAGAGTTAGTGTTCTAGTTTAGTCCAACACAAAAAAGTCTGAGAACTTCCTAATTTGTTTTCTTGGATAAACAAGAGCGAAAAAATTCTTCTGAAAAGTAACTTCTCATTTTCACAAGCCAGAAGTACAACTTCTCGTTTTTCTTAACAGGAGGAAAGAGGCAGAATTAGTAACTCTAGAGCAGAGGATTTTGTGATCTGAAATTGGTGACCTGAAATGACAGAGATCCATTTAAACATTCAAATCACAGACTTCTTCCTTGAGTAGCTGGAGTGAGGAGTGGTGCTGGATAATCGCTCTTGAGCATATTGGCCAAGTTTTATATCTGAAGTGCTCTCCAGGTTTAGGCTTTTCTCTCCATGAAGTTTTCTGCAAATCAGTTGGAATACAGTCTTACGGACACTTCTGGACATTAGGAAATACATGACTGGGTCTAGGCAGCTGTTAAATGATGAAAATATGAGCATCACCTCATTGCACGTGTGAATGATCTGCATCCAGTAACAGGATGGGGATTGTAACTGTGATGTGATGTAGACAACCCTGAACATGTGATAAGGCACAAAACAGATGGTGAAAATTATGAGAACAATGAAGGAATTTCTTGCTGTCTTGGTGTATTTTCCTGCATTGGGAAAATTTGCCCTTCTCCTCGAAATTTTCAGAAGGTTCTTGGCAATTTTAACATACGAAAGTATCAAAAGGAAAAAAACAATCCAAAAAATCAGCACAGTGATACAATTTAAAATTGCTTCTGTCTTTTCTGCATTCTGTTTGCTTCGGTAATGAAAGCACTTGGTAGAGTTGCTGCTCTCAGTCTTAAAGAAAGATGGAGCAACCACCACTATAAATCCTGCCAGTGCAATGGCCCACACCGTGACGCAGATCTGCACGCTCCGGGTGGTGGTGAGCATCCTTGGACGCCTCACAGACTTCGTTATTTTTATATAACGATCCAGACTAATTAGTCCCAGCAGTACTATGCTAATGTACATGTTCATGTAGAACAGAGTTCCCACAACCTTGCAAAAAGCCCGCCCAAACATCCAGCTGTTGGTGGCATGATAGAGGATCCGGAAGGGAAGGCAGAAGATGAGCAGAAGGTCTGCAACAGCCACGTTTAGCAAGTAAACTTGGATAGAATTCCTCTTCTGATGAATGCACAGGAAAGCAAACAGGGCTACAATATTTCCAACCAATCCAACAACAAAAATAATGGAGTAAAAAACTATCAAGGCAAGTGACAGTGAGTTGTTGTCATCCAAGGAACAGCTGGCATGATTGTGACTTTCTGAGGCATTTATGGTCAGGTTGGTTTGGTTACTCCAGAATTCTTCCTTGTGTGGCCCAATGATTGGTAAAGCAGCCGAAGTTGCATCCATCGTTTGAAAAGGGGTTTTAGCTGTTCTGCAAAAAGACAAAGAGATATTTTAAGATATTTCAAGTATCTGTTTGCTTTATAGCCTACAGTCTAATGTAATATAAACATAAAAGGCAGTAGCCAAAAGGAATAAATGCACCAAATATTGGTGTAGCTGAACAGGAGAAGTTTCAGCCAGAAATCATAAAATAATATGTCTAGGTAATCTGCAGGCAAGAAAGAACAGATAGTGTAGAGTACTCACAGATAAATATTTCTGTAATTACAGTGTTATTACTGTTTTGTGTTGTTTTAAAAGTCAACTATTACATTTTCTTGCAAACTTAAGAATTTTCTTTATAAGAGTAAATAAGCTTTTAAAATTCACTTCTTGGGACCAGGATTTCTAGCACAGAAAAAATTTTATCTAAGGTGCAGGGACAGGTAAACATAGCTAAGTATTCTCAGTGTTGACACAAAGTATATTAAAGGAAGTCTAAACTCATCTGTGTTAATTTTCAATAATTCATATCTCTCACATGCAACTCACTGGTTCTCAATTAAAAAAGCATTCATCAATTAGTAATATTTATTTGCCTATGTGCTGTGTTATAAGTAACCCTGTGAGACAATTTGTTGCAGTAGCTTGTCTTTAATAATCTGTACCTTCACATAAATGTAAGTGGCTTTTTCCTTTTCTTGACTATTCACAAATCAGTATTACACAAATAAACTACTATTAGCTAGAAATCACAAGAATGCAGTAACAGGTTGTTTACAAACCTTTCTTGTTTTCATGTTTTTCTTTGCTTTCATTGGATAGTTTTTATTTCACTAAGCCTATTGCTGACCAGGAAGGTAAAATGTGAAAGATGAAAATCAGCCTTGACCAACAAAGGAAAACCAAAAGTGTGTGGTTTGCAGAGCCATCACATGACGGCATTTAGAGAGATGTTTACTGATAAATAATGATAAAACTTTAGCCTTCGACTTGTTTGTCATAGCAACAAGAAATGCCATACAAAAGTTTATTTAGAATATTTTAGTTTTACAGAGGAAAGATGTTTTTTCCTATAATCTCACAAAAATTTTCAGAAGTGGTTTTAGCACTCTGCACTTAGTTTTCTGGTAACTGTTACAGAAAAAAAAACAAAAAACAAAAAACCATATACATACTGCTGTATATGTAATTATAAAATAAATTTTATGCTAGCTCTGTGTCTAGGCCATGCAATTTGCGTGCTAGGTCTTGAAAAATGCAAATTTACATTTAATTCTGTGGTGCAGCCACAGCAGTGAAAATGGCAACACTTTGGGCAAAATTCTAAGAAGACCTAATGTAGTTACAGAATCTGAATTCTTGAGAGTAGAGTCTAAAATATTTTAACATCTTGTGTTGTCTGGCCCTACAATTACATTAAACTGGTACATTAGCAGTTTCCAAACCAGCTGTTCTCATACTTGTCACTTGATATTGTCAGGGCAAGTAATTTCAAGAGATTGATTTCAAACTGCAGTGTTTTCATATATATTTTTTAACCCATCTACTGCAATGACTTCATGTTTAAGTTGCTTTTCTATGAAAATGTTTGATATGGGGGCTTGTATAAGGAAGTTTAGATCAATGAGAGAGAAACTTGGGTTACGCTGCGAACAGATTGGGAACAAACTTTTCACTCTCGTAAGTTGTGTCACCTGTAAGCAAGCAGATGTGCTTAAACCTAGATATTAAGAGAATTGCAATGAAGAGAACTATAGCTTAAGTATAAAAGAATTTACTTACCATTTATGTGCTAAGAAGTTCTGCTGGTTCTCAAAAGCACTGGTGAAGACGGGGAGGAGAAACGTGCAGGTCCTTTTATTAGAAAGCTGCAGCAGCAGCTTCTCTCTGAAAGTGGCAAGCTCCAGCTGACTCGTACAATTGGCAACAGGGGGAAGTTTTAACTGGTGTTGCAACTGGTTTGCTTTGTTTTTTTAAAGACGTTTTTATCTGGCTCTACCCAGTTTATTTGGGCTCTGGTGAGAAAGGTTCTGTGTTCAATTTTTCTCAGTTTTGCTCTGATTTGGAGATTATAAGTTTTTTTCTCAGAGGTTTTGTTTCTGGTGAGCCGTGCCAGTGGTTTTTTGGGTGATGATGATGTTGGTACTATCTGTCATCTCTTTAATACTTCGTGGAAGTAGTCTCACTTTTTTCCAGTAGAGGGTAAAGATAAGTCAGCACCGCAGGGTAATGGTACATTTTGTAAATGTTTATATAGTTCTCCCATCTACCTTTCTCCTTGCCTGGGATTAGAATTTTAGAATTCTTTCTCACTCCAAATGACAGTGACAAGAGGATGTGAAAGTACCCAAAGTGTGCATCTGAACCATTTCACTAAGGCAGAAGTGAAATACAATATGCAGCAATAATACCACCTGCTAATACTCTTCCAAGTGGTGCATAGGAATTGAAAATTACATTTATAAATTGGAAATTTAGGAGTGGATTCTAGAAGACCTAATATGACTAGGCCTAAATTAAATGAAGATCTCAAGAACATTGTTTTGAAGGTCTTTGTTCTCATATAATTTAAACTTTTACAAAAACGTGTGGGTGGTTAGAGATGATGACTTCAGAGGTAGTCAGAAGGAACTTTTGGTAGGTCCTGTGCACTTTTTTGAGTTCTTAGTTTTGCAATTTAAGCAGTAATGTATTCTCAGGAAGTAGTATACAAATTTGAGGTTCTTCATTTTAAGTAATATGGTATTGAAAAGAGAGGCTTTGAGTAAATGCAGGAAGTTCTACATTAAATGCAATTGTTTGGGTATGTGTATTTAATACCAAATTGTGTTCTGATAGATTTTGTCTGTACGTTCCTTCCTCCTGCAGCAGTCAGTACCCATCTGAATTGTTGTATAATCTTACTTCATTTATATATTTATTATATAATTATAATTCATTCAGTTATTTCATTTTAATATATTACACCTCACTGTTATTTGTGGAACATCAAAGATATAGATGGCTATGGCTGGAATCCACTTTAGACACCTGAAGAATATCCCTCACTGGAATGTTCCAGGGGTGTTCCTTTTCTTTCCTGCACTTGAGAAGTGCTGAGTGAATCCTGTGATTCAGGCTCAGAACAGAGTTTTATGTTCTCTGTGGGAAGGATAAGACCCCACAAAACATATCATAGGCAGGATATTTCAGCTGGGGAATTGAAACATGTAAGGGTTAATAGGATGGAAGACAAAAATGAAAAGTAATACCAGGTAAGAAATTATACACATGAGTTTTTTATCTCCATTGAATCATGATTTCACTTTGTGTTCCTTGCTAGTTCTGATAAGTTCTGAAAGGATTTTGCTATGCCTGGGGCAATAGAAGGGAAGCCAATGTAGAAAGAGGAGTCCATGCAGAAAAGAAGATTATTGAAATTGAGACATTATTTTTAAAAAACAAAATCTAACCTCTGCTCTCAGCTTTATGAAAATAAGTGCTAAATTACAGATTGTTTTTCTCAAACAGTGTAATAATTTGTCTGGATTTTTGTCTTTTCAGCCACACTGTGTACTGCTTGCCTCAAAAGAGAATTCAGCCCCAGTAAAGCTGGGTGGCTTTGGAGTAGCAATTCAGTTAGGAGAGTCTGGGCTAGTTGCTGGAGGTAAGAAATTTTCCTTCTAAGTTATTTAGTATTGTGCATGTTGTACTGCAGAATTCTGTTCTTCTGACACAGCCTGGCCTGCAAAACAAGAGCTCAAAAATAATATTTCACTACAGACTAAGTTAACATGGTAAATGCACACAGCCAAGCTACATTGGTAGTGGAATGTAATGTGCATTCAAACATTAAATCCCTGTAAATGTTACTCAACAGGAGCTCATGCTGGTTTGATAAAAATAAAACTAATAATACCCAAAGAATTTTCCACTTTAATACAAGCTTTGGCTTAATTCTGCCATGCATGGTAAAGCAAAGAAAATAAAAATGCAGTCATTGAAGCACTTGAGTAAGGACTTACTGCAGCGTCCTCAGTGCTGTCCTGTTGGATAGGCAATTCCTATCAGAATGCTGTGCTGGTTAATAGCAAAATCTTACTGCTTTTCACATGTGATTCTTTTCTGTGTTTTAAAATTTCATTGTAATTATTGCATAAGACATCAATATCTTGATACGTATGTATATTTTTGACTGTGTTTTGTTTTCTGTGGATTTTATTTCCTCTAGCTGCCTTCCATATTGTTCCAGACAATAGGGTTATGCTTTAATCAGCCTGCACAGATGAAGACCCAATCAATTTTCTGATGCTTTCATTGCCAGAGTAGGAGACCACAACAAAACATTTTGTTAGTTTTAATATTTTTTCTTCTGAATTAATAACTTTCTTTAGTAGCATGCATCTTCAAAATCTCAGATTTCCTAATTTAATCACTTAACATTCTGTGTCAATTTGAGTTTTGTACATTTTTTTAAATAAAAAGCGAATCAAATATAGACATAACAACAGCTTCCATTTCCTTCCAGATATTGCTGATACCCTAGAAATATCCAAGTATCTTATTAACTAGAGACATATTTTCCAAGAAAATACCCATTCAGTTAAGCTGTAATAAAAAAGTCATTGCTTTCTTTACTTTTCTTGTGTTACTCAAATTATCTGTACCTCAGTCACTGCTTTTTTTTAGTGGCAGTTTCTACACTTTTGTGTCTAATTATCTCATTTTTCTTCCTTGTGTTCTGCTGAGCAACTTTACCCACTCCTTCTGTTTCAGTCACTCTTCTGGAGGTAGTCAGATGCAGTGTACTTTCAGATTACCAATTGTTTAGCAAGAAACATTCAAGTTCAACTTTGAAAAAAAAAATTACTGCATTTTTCCTGGAGTTTGCCATCACCTTCCTTTTGTGTTACTGTGCCCAGTGCTGTGATCCCACTCACTGCTCCTGTGCTCACCCTGCCCCAGTGATCAGTGCTGGGGGTTCTGTTGGCAGCTCTCACAGAAGATCCCAAACCTCATCACTGTGATATTTCTCAGTATCTTTTGCTTCTTCCACCTCAACTTCTGCCATGTTGGTCTGCCTTCACACAGTTATTTTTTCCCTTTTCTCAACTGGCATCTCCAGTTTGCAGCCTTTTCATTGGCAGTTGTAGCTTTCAGCTTCAAATTCCACTCATTTTCAGGGGTACCCAGAATAATTCCATTCCATTTATTTACTTTGGAAAATCTCCTTAACTGACTCCTCTCTTTCTCCTCATCTTCCATTCCAGTCTTTTAAGCACAAACTACTTCTGTTGTCTGACAATTCTTTTCCCTGCCAGAGCCCTACCTGAAGACAAATTACTAGACAGTTCCCTACACAGAGCTGGCAAGGTCTTATTTATTCAGTTTTACAATATAACACATGTTTTATATGAAATATTGACAGCTGTCAATACTGGCTGTTTGAACTGGACTATAAATTCCTTATAAATCAGTGTTTATCTACACATTTGTTTAAGGGTGTTATTCATATGGAAAAGTTTTTTCATAATAGTAACAATAATTTAGAGGCACTTCTTATTTCTCAGTTGTCTCATTTAAAAAAGTAGAAATTCTCCAAATAGAGAAGTCTGAACAGCATCATAACCAACCTGTTCACTTTCACATTGCTTTTCTAATTTTTAGTGAAAAACATTGATTCCTCTTGACGTAGTCAATTATTTCCCTTTTAGCATAGCATTATTTCCCTTTTAGCATGGCAATGCCTGCATTTGGTGGTTAGTACATAAAAAAAAGAAATTCTCTATTAAATGAAATCTATCATGGCATTAAGATAATTTTGCTAACCTGAAATCCTCTGTGCTTTGTTTGTGCTGTTTTTCCTACTTCTGTACACCTTGACACACCTGTGCCTGGCAATCCCAGATTGTGTGTAGCCTCAGGAGAACAAACTAAAGGGAATTTTCTCCCTCAGTGTGTTTGAAGCCAGCCTTCAAGCTTACAGCTTTTGCTTTGTTTGGGACTGTAACTTTTTTTGACTTGACAAAGACATCTTTATCAGAGTGTGCATAAACTGCTGGGGAAGGAATTTTTGTGTTGGAGTTAAATTAAACCCCAGGTATTAAAATCTTTTTTCATAAGTCCAAAGACAGACTTGTGAAGTTTAGAAGGATTGTAACTATAGGATTCTTTCTTTCAAGCAGGTAGATGGCTGTTTTACAGAAGTGTAAGAGAGCTCATGAGAACAAGCTGTGACATCATCCTAGATGTCATTGATGAAAATGTGTATGGAGGAGATTTTAGGAGTGACTCTATTTTAGCAGATAACAACTCAGTTGACATTATTTTTAAGAAAGTTCCATTATTAGTTATTATTTACTTTATGTAAGTAAAATAAAGTACAAAAACCAAAAAGTATGTAGCCATAACTCATTTCTTCATAAGGCCAGAGGGGGAAATGTAAGGAAATATTCTTTGTTCCACTCCATTTGCTCCTAAGCTGCAATAAATGGCTAAGATACATGTGTTGTCATCTGAGCTTGAGGAAATAGGTTTCATGAGCTACCAGTCTCTGAAGGTCTCTTCTTGCTTCAGTTCTTATGATCAGTAGTGGAAAATTGTGACTTGAAGCCTTGAAGTACTTTATAAAGGACCTCTGGCAGTATACACAGGAGTTAGAGAACATCGTAATTTATAAGTGAATTCCTTTCAGGAGCAGCACAGTTCCATAAGACAGTAAACAGTCTGTGTTGCATTGTTATGATGCAGCTGGAGTAGTGGAACCTCTGGGAAGTCAGTGATTTAATAGACTAATCTCACATTATGATCTCTGCCTCCTTCCTTGAAGAGTTTTCTTGCAGAGCATAGCATGAATTGTCGCAGTATTTTCTTAAATGTGACATCAGATTTATCTGATAACAAATATCTTAGATGCTAAATCTTGGGATTTTTAGCTAGTATATGGTATAAAAGTCTGAAGGAACAGAAACCATCAAGTTCACAACTGTTATTTCCTTCACTTAATCTACTTAATTTCGCCTGGTTTCAACTAGTGCCAAGATAACTGTATAGACCTAAGGAGGATGAGGTTCTTTATCTGGGGATAGTTAACTGTCAATAGTTAACTTTCACATTTTACCTTCAGCAGCAAAATGTCACAGATACCATAATGCTAATCCAGTCCAGTATTAATTTTTAGTTATTGTTAGTTAGATGCCCTAGGCTGCCTCAAAATCCTGTAGTATCCTAATATCAATTA